TAGGTTGCCATGACTACAACCGTTTGCAAGTAATCAATTATCAAGGTACCATCTGCATCCGCCATTTTTTTTCTTAAAGTCAAAATAACTTAAAAACCATAAATGGTAGATATCGACATATGGGTATCAAAAGAAGTGAAATTTCACGTAGAATCCAAAAAAGCAATAAAAAATAGGGGTTGCCATTTAAAATAACGAAGTTACTATCTACTTCCGGTGTTTCCGGAAGTGCGGCCATTTTGAAAATATTTTACATCGATTCGGCCTTCAGAGTAACTCCTAAGTACAAATTTTCAAAAACCTACCTATTTTACTTTCCCAGAAACTTTTAACTAAAGCTCCCAAAAAAACACCCTGTATAGTAATTTACAGTTTCATATACCTATTTATTTCTTAAATAGTTACATATTGTATATTGATAAAATTATGACTTTATGACTTAAATAATGCTTTTTCTTTATAAAATTAGGAACAATTTATAGTAATAATAATAATAATAATAATAATAATATATATTTATTGAACACATACATATTATGACGCGTGCTCAATGGGTTTATGATCGGCAGTGCCGTTTTTCACATATCCCCTTTTACACATCCACGCAAGATATAGAAATTATAAATATAATATAAGAAATAAATAATGAAATAATAATACAAATTTTATAAAATTACTGCAGACTGTTTTGCTATTAGCAGCTGCTTAAAACTTATACTAAACTGTGCGAGTGATCTACAGTTCCGGAAGAGATTAAGATGATCATTAATTAATGATGGTGCGACGTGTAAAAAGCAACATTTAAATTTTGTGGTTTTATGTATGGGCATGGAATACGAATGAACATTTGTTAATGATAAATTGTGAAATGCTGATCTCTTAACTAATAAGTTATATAAGTATACCGGTTCTTTCGAATTTAAGATGCTATATAACATTTTCCCCAAGCTAAGCATGAACCGATATTCGAGCTTAAGTATATCAAACTTAATATAATAAGGAGTGTGCTCCCTGCGATTAATTTTAAAGGAAAAACGCATACAACTGTTTTGCAACATTTGTAACTTATTCTTTAAAGATTGTGTTAGAAAGTTGTAGTACACTGAACTGCAATAGTCTACCTGACTTAATATTAAAGAATTAACTAAGTTCCACTTAACATTTTCTGGTAAAATCTGTTTAAATTTCCACAATGATTTCAGTTTCATATACATTATCCTACATTTTTGCACAACATGTTCTTCAAAACTTAAAGAACTATCCAGAATAACACCTAAGTCTCTACCACTTTCACTAATATTAATCACACTGTTACCAATTATTATCGGTGGTTTATCAATTGTGTTACGTTTCCCTCTCGCGCTTTTTGATCCAATACAAAGAACAATAGTTTTATTACCATTCAAGCACAACCCATTATTACTTGACCAATTGGTTACAAGGCTCAAATTGATATTAAGCTCACTGATTAAATTGTTAATATTACTAGGAGAACATGCTTTATAGAGTTGTGTATCGTCTGCATATTGGTGAATGCACCACTCATGTTTTAGTACTGCAGGTAAATCGGCGACAAAGATGGCAAACAGGATAGGGCCCAATATGCTCCCTTGCGGAATTCCCAAGGTCACGGGTAACTGATCAGATATTTGTCCATCAATTCTGACTTGCTGATGTCTTTCACTTAAGTAACTATTGAACCATGCGAGAGAACCGCAGGTGACTCCGTAGTAACATAGCTTCGCCAATAGTAATTCGTGGTTTATCAAGTCAAAAGCTTTACTGTAGTCCAGTATGTAAGTAAGGTTAACTGGCCATCGTCGACACTCTGCGTGATATCACTAAGCACTTTAATTAAAGCAGTGGTTGTGCTGTAGTTTTTGCGAAATCCCGACTGTATGTCCGGTAAAATTTTATTGCTGGAGACGTGTAGTAGTAATTGGCGTTGAACAACTTTTTTCAGAATTTTGGACATGGCTGGCATAAGACAAATTGGTCTAATATCTTTTAGTTCACAGGCTTGGCTAACTTTAGGTAATGGATTGATAATTGTCTCCTTCCATAGAGAGGGCACGATGCCTTTGCTTAACGAAAAATTAATTATGTGAGTCAGACTTTGTATACAAAAAGGCAAGGAAAGCTTTAACATATGTAAGTTAATATTGTCACACCCATAAGCATTTGATGATAGTTCATATGCGGTTCTCTCGACTTCATCGGCAGTAACTTGATGGAAGGTCTTCAGGAAAGAAACGTTATTAAATGTGCTGCGTAAGAAATGATCCAGAGTGTTGATATCTACATCTACTTTATGGGTATTACTACTGACGTAGTTGTTAATTAAATCAGCGTTCCTTATACATTTTCCAATAATACCATTAGGTTTTGTATGTACATTCCATTCCCTAAAGCTTTTCCAGAGTTTACGAGGATCAGTCTTGTATAATCGCAATTGATGTTTTATATACGCAACTCTCGTTTCTTACCGCCGTTTTTAAATAATTACGTAACTGTTTATAGTAATTTAGGTCTGATTCGCGTTTAATACGATTAAATTTGTTAAACGCTTGTTTTTTTAATTTTATTATTTGTTTTAAGGTATCCGTAATGTAAGGCTGATAATTACGACGCAATCGAGCAATTTTGATAGGCGCGTATGAATCAAACAAATTTAGTATTTGTGGTTTATAAATTCCACTTTATCGTCAATGTCACTAAATGTTTCGATAAATTTCCAGTCTATTAACGATGCAGCTGTACGAAAACTTTGCACATCAAAGTTCTTGTAGTCGCGGTAGGTGATGAATTTAGGTGGACACGATTGTATTGAACGACTTATTTAATGGTATAATAATATTTACAAAGAAAGAATCACTAAAAAAAAAGAAAAAGCCAGTGAAAAGGCGCTTCGGGTGCATGGGGCACTGAGCAAGATTATGCCTAATGCAGGTGGCGCCAGAGCGTCCAAGCGGAGGGTGCTGGCGACGGCCGCAACGCGGTGCTGCTGTACGGTGCCGAAGTATGGGGTTTGGCGACGAAGTGGGGCGTAGCCATGGCCAAGACGGAACAAGTGACGAGACTGCTGGCCATTAGAATCTGCAGTGCGTACCGCACCGTGTCATTGGAGGACGTAATGGTTGTGACCGGGTTCCACCCCAGCGCAGATATAAATTAAGACGAGGGAGGAGAAGTGGGACAGACAAGTGGGTGGGCAGGACACACGGGGAGGTGGACTACTTTCTCACCCAGTTCCTAACCGGGCATGGGGAGAACGGAACGTATCTCCATCGTTTCCGCAAGCGCGATAGTGATGTCTGTGTAGATTGCGCAGAAGTGGACACAGCAGGACATGCCGTTTTCGAGTGCCCTAGATGGGCAACGCCGAGACTGGAACTGGAGGTATGGCTGGGAAACCAGATAAATCCAGGAAACATCAGCGGACGAGATAGTTAAGGAGGGATACTTGCGAGTAGGACTTACCTCCTGCAGAGTCTTTCGAGCAAACGAGCAAGTACGGTGCAACCGATGCTGGGAAATGGGACACGAGGCGTGGCAGTGTCAAGGAGTGGACAGAAGCGCCCTATGTTATAATTGCGGCCTGAGAGGGCACCAGGCCAGACACTGTAGCGTGGAGGCGAAGTGCACTAGGTGCGAAGGATTAAAAGCAGGCTGGGGCATTGGGCACAGGGCTTTCACCAGGGGCTGCAGATACGCAGAGAAGGTGAAGGAACTGGAGAAAATTAGAGCAGGGCAGGAGGCCGCAGAAACAGCCCGAGAAACAGAAGCAAACGAAGGAGAGACCACGAGCGGCGCGGCACAATTGAATAACAATGGCGAACATTAAAATTTTGCAAATAAACCTCAACAACAGGAGGGAAGCGATGGACCTGGCCACTCAAACAGCCCAGGAGACGGGAAGAAATATCCTAATCCTCTCGGAGATCGGCAGTGCGCGGGCGACGGATGAAATGTTTGTGGACAGTGGTAAGGCCGCAATTATTTGCGTGGACCAGAGTGTGAGTATAGACAAAGTGGGAGAAGGTCAGGGGTACGTGTGGGTCCTGATTCAGGGGGTACACGTGTACAGCGTCTATCTACCGCCCAACGATAGTATTTTTGAATTAGAGGGGACACTTACCGAAATCGCGGACTCGATTAAAAGTACCGGTGCGTCTAAAGTGATAGTCTCGGGAGACATAAACGCGGCTTCTCCGGCATGGGGCGTCCGCTCGTCCAACATTAGGGGCGAAATCATCGTCGAATGGGCCGAGACGTTGGATCTGGCTGTGGTAAATGTAGGATCAAAACCGACCTATGAGCAGGGTATGCGCCGATCGATTGTCGACGTTACCTTTTGCTCTCGGAGATTATTAGACAATTTTGTGAAGTGGGAAGTGATAGACAATGAAACACTAAGCGATCATAAATACGTAGAGTGGGAGTGTAGGTTGACGGGGCCACAAAACATTCCGCTCGCGCAAATCGGAACAAAATTCAGAGGGTGGAATAGTAATAAAATAGACCAAAATAAACTGGTGAACAATCTTCTGGATAATAGAAGACTGCTTGACGGGGGGTTGCTAGATGAGGCTGTACACCGTCACTTGTACAAATTGAAAGACTGGAGACCTCGCAACCCCAACGACTAAACGACATTCAAATCGATAGTGATTTATTGAGTATTATTTACAGTTTATATATACAATTAATTATAACGTATTTGTGTTTGTTTGACATAGTGTCCTTATTTCTTATTGCATTAGTTGGCATACGTTGCATTTTACGTATGCAATTATAGTACCTAATTTTCCATTGAAACTTGATGCTTTTGTAGTATTTCGCGGCCAGATTGCTGGCTTGCGTTTCACAACTCTTAATAAATTGTTACCTTATGAATTCATGATAATGTAATAACTGTAACCTAGTTCTAATTATACTATTGCTGATAGTGCTGATAACATAATCTTCGTCTGTCTGTCCGCATTTCTGATAATTTCTTGCTAATTTTTGTTCAGTGAGGCGATGTCCTTATATACTTCATCGTTGACTCCGAATACTGCTGTAAGTATGTCCCCCAATATTCCTCGCTTCCTTCGTTCAACCATCGTGCTGCCTATTTCTTCCTTTAACCATTGTATTTCATTTTCGTGATCCTCGAGAAGTTGCACTAATTCGGTACAGTGTGAATTTCCTGCTATTTCTGCTGTCTTGTTGCATAGCTCCTTGAAATGTGTAATTGATTGCAGCGTTGCGTGGATGTCTTCATTTATCCGTGTTTTCTTGTATTGAATATCGATCCGGAAAATTCCTCGTTCAATCCTTCCATCTCCCATGTGTTCTATGTAAAACCCTGGGTTTGGATGCGTGATGTTGTACTCTGCCACTGTAGTGCCTATCATCATCATTAGTATGGTGACAACAATTGCTTTTATGCTGAAACTCTTCATCTCTTGGTTGTATACGAATGTCTTCCATCTGCTTGGCTCTCCTTTTATCCATGCCAGAGTAATCATTGAATCTGTCCATGCGAAGATGGTGATGTCTTTTTCCTGGAGTGCTGTTGTTGCTCTCTTGATCAGCCTGGCTAGTAGAACGGCTGCACATAATTCCAACTTCGGTATTGTTGGCTTCGTGCGTGCAGGGGCTACCTTGGATTTTGCCATTAGCAGTGACACTTTCCCTTGGCTGGCTTTTGTGTAAACTACCGCCCCGTACGCCTTCTCTGATGCATCACAGAACCCATGTATCTCCAATGTTTCGTTCTTGTTATGTATCCATCTTGGGATCTGAATTTCCTCGACTGAGCCAATGTCGGAGGTGAACTTCAACCATTCCATCCTTAAACTTTCCGGTATGTTTTCGTCCCATGAAGCGTTTGTTAACCATAATCGTTGGATGAGCAGCTTTGCCATTATGGTTACGGGTGCCAACCATCCTAATGGATCGAATATTTTTGCTACTGCTGATAATATACCACGCTTGGTCGTTGCGGGATTGCCTTCTTCTATCTTAAATGTGAACACGTCTTGATGTGGTATCCACAGTATCCCTAATGACTTCTTCATTTCTTCGTCCTTGAATTGTGATACGGATGGATCTCTTAATTCGTCAAGGATTGATTGTAGCATTTGTAGTTTGTTCGTTGACCATTTGTGTAGCTTGAATCCTCTTTTGTCTAGCATGGCTGTTAGCTCTTGTTGTAGTTGGTTGGCTTCCTCGATGGTTTGGGCCCCTGTTAGCACATCGTCCACATAGAAGTCGGTTAACGCAACCCTTGATGCGTTAGGGTATTCTTTTTCTTCGTCCTTCGCGAGTTGTTGTAGGGTGCGTGTTGCCAAATAAGGTGCTGCAGTTGTCCCATATGTAACTGTGGTTAACTGGTATTCTTGTATGGGTTGATGCTGATTGAATCTCCAGAGTATAGTCTGCAGTGGTTGATCGTCCTCATGTATGTTTATTTGACGATACATTTTTTGTATGTCTGCTGTGAACGCTACCGGGTGTTTTCTCCATCTCACCAGGATGTCTGCCAATTCTTCTTGCAGTCTTGGTCCCACGTGCATGGTTTGATTGAGGCTCTTTCGTGACCGTGTGGTTGCGGACGCGTCAAACACGACTCTTAACTTTGTTGTGGCACTTGCTTCCTTGATGACTGGTTGATGTGGAATGTAGTATCTTCCTTCTCCCTTGGGGGGTACTAGTTTCATGTGGCCCAGGTCTATGTACTCCTGAAGGAACGCTTTGTACTGCTCGCGTACTCGATGCTCCTTTTCTAGCTTCTTTTCCAATTGGTGCAGTCGAGCTACTGCTAGCGAACGGGAACTGTTAACCATGGTAGGCGCTTCTTTAAATGGTATCCTCACTGTATACCTTCCATCTCGCCCTCTTGTGGTGGTGGCCATATAATGGTTCTCACATTGTATGTCTTCTTCTTTGGAGCGGCTTGACACCTCGACTTCCTCCATTTCCCAGTATTTTGACAGGTTTCTTTCTTCTTCCATTGTTGAAACCATCCCGATGACTGGTGTGCCTTTTTTCTCTGGATACATGACTTGATCGGACACTATCCATTCCAATTCGGTCTGCTGTCCTAGCAATGCAGACGCCGTTTTTGTAACACCGTTTAGTATGATTTTGGCGTAGTCTTGGGCTCCCAGTAGCACATGTATTGGACCTGTGATGTTGAGGGTTGGGTCTGCTAGGATCTTGGTCTGCCATGGTTCCAAATCGAATTCCATTGACTTCATTGGTAACATCCCAGTTATTTTCGGTAACACGATGAGGTCTGTTGTCAGTGTGTATTTGCTAGACTGACGAGGGTGGAGATGTACCGTCCCTTTTGCTCTTGCGTTGGTCGGACTTCCTTCTCCCAATCCAGATACCATTGCCCTTGTTTTCTGCCTGGGTACCATCAGTTGCTGAGCTGCTTGCTCGGTGATGAATGACGCTTGGGATCCTGGGTCTACCAGTGCTCGTAGTAGATGGCGTTGTCCCAGGATGTCTTGGGCCTGTACTATTGCTGTTGCCAAGAGGACTTGTTGATCTTCTTTCTTGATTTCCATTTCTTTGGCTGCTGTAGATGCGTGGGACATTGCTTGGCTTCCTCTTGTGGCTGGAGCTGTCCTTGAGGTTTGGTGTAGTAGCGAGTGGTGAGGGTACCTGCATGTAGAACAGTTTTTAAGCGAGTAACATTTCGTATTGCAGCTATGGCGTATGCACTTGAAGCATAACTGTTGCTCTTTTACAATTTTGATTCTTTCGGCAACGGATAGTTTGCCGAATTTTGGGCACATTTCGATTTGGTGTTGTTCCTTACAGTATGTGCAGTTTGGTTGCTTATTTCCGACCCAGTTAGGCTTGTATGATGATGGTGGTTGATCTCCTCTCTTCATTGCTAACGCCTCCAGAGATTGGAATCTTGACTTCATGAACTCCATCACTTCCTCTAGTGCCGGCGTCTCGGTTGGATTTTTGAGAGACTGCTCGAATATCCTGTTAGTTTCTGTGTCCCATTTTCTGGAAATAAGTTTTGTTATTATTGGACCCCATGAGGTTGTATCATGTCCGATGTTGTTGATCCCTTCCCGACACTCGTGTATTGTATCGTGAAGCATCCTCACTTGATGTGCATCTTCTTTATGGCTCACCGGGAAGTCGAGTATTTTGTCCAGTAATTTTGATGTAATTAGTCTCGTGTTGTGGTACCGCTTGGTTATTATGTCCCATGCTGTTTCGTAATTCCTCTCGCTGATGTGTAGATGTTGAATCAACCTGGCAGCTTCTCCATCCACATGACTTTTTAAATAGTGCATTTTTTCTGTGCTGGATAACGCGTCGTTGGAGTGAATTAATTTCTGAAACAGGTCATGAAATGCTGTCCAATTCTCATACCCAGTCCTGAAGATGGGGATCTTGATTATCGGCAGTTTTATCTTACTGCTCGAATTCTGCATTTCCATATTGGCGATTTGCTCCTGGAAAGCATCGTATCGCCTTTGTGCTTCTACGTATCTCTCGGTGGCAAAGTATTCATGAACGAACTCTATTTCGTTGGCCCTTATTTCTATTTCAATCCTCGCCTATTCTGTCCCAACATTTTTCGGCCCTATCACATAGCACCTTTATTCGGCTGCTATTCCGTGATTGTTTTTTGAGTTCGTCCTCCACCTGAAATAATAATTGTTCGATCTGAGTGATACGAACCTCCTGTTTCCTAATCCGCATCTCCTGTGCGGTGTCGCGTTTTTCGTGTTCTCCCTCTGTTTTTATCGACCTTTCTATCTTGTCCAGGTAGTCGCTGGCCTTGAGGTGAACGTCTTCCAACTGCCCTATGAAGTTGGTCTTGTGGTACTCGTGCTGTGGTTCTTTTAATTCCACTATCTTCTGGTGGTTTATCTTCACAGCCGAAATGTATCCTTGTAACTGACGGCGCCGGTCTGCTATGTAATTCACTGTCTTTCTATCCGCTGGATCTTTTTTCAGGTTGGCCAACAGTTTTCCCATCTGTTGGCCCAGCTCCTGCTGTTGGGTGGCGAGGGTGTTCATTGGCTCTATTTTCCTCGTTCCCTAAAATTTTTTGCTTATTATCTGATTCCTCACCTTGGTAATCAGCTAGCAGTTTCTTTGTTGCCGCCGGGAATTTATTTTCCTTCGGGCGTTGCAGATCCGTGCGTCCTTTTTTCCTGCGGCGTGTTTCCGTCTTCTTGAAACGGTGTTTTTTCGTGCAGCGTTGGTGTGGCTTCTTGCGGCCTTTATTTGTTTTAAATCTTCTTACCCGACTATTCGATGGTGGTTATGTTGTTGCTGTGAGGGGCGTAAATCCTTACAGCTTTCGGGTTGCTTCTTCTGCTGCTACGTTCTCTCTGCCGCTGGTCGTGTTGCCCTGGAGCTTCTGTATCTGTGTGTGGTTTTCTTATTGTTGGGCGGAAGCTGTAGGGCTTGCTCCTTCCTGCCACAAGAATCAGTTTCCAATTGCCGATGTTGGTATTCTTCTGCATTGGCTGCGCGCGAGTTGGGCCCTCTTCGTTGTTGGATCGACTTCCTTGCCGCTGGTGTTGGCTCGAAGGACCATGAACAATCTTCTGGATAATAGAAGACTGCTTGACGGGGGGTTGCTAGATGAGGCTGTACACCGTCACTTGTACAAATTGAAAGACTGGAGACCTCGCAACCCCGACGACTAAACGACATTCAAATCGATAGTGATTTATTGAGTATTATTTACAGTTTATATATACAATTAATTATGACGTATTTGTGTTTGTTTGACATAGTGTCCTTATTTCTTATTGCATTAGTTGGCATACGTTGCATTTTACGTATGCAATTATAGTACCTAATTTTCCATTGAAACTTGATGCCTTTGTAGTATTTCGCGGCCAGATTGCTGGCTTGCGTTTCACAACTCTTAATAAATTGTTACCTTATGAATTCATGATAATGTAATAACTGTAACCTAGTTCTAATTATACTATTGCGACAGCGATGTATTTGCCGCAGCTTCCTTGTTCCTCTGTTTAATATCTTTTGGTATTAAACAACTGGAAATGTGCTTGCAAGGTGTGGATGACATGAGAGTAACGAACGCACACCAGCTAACTGGCGTACTTCGCAAAATATGTCGTACAGTTATGCCACCCAAGAGAGCGGGACGTTGTGCGCAGTTTTGGTGGAACGACGACATTGCTTAACAACGCCAAATCTGCATCCGCAGTAGAAGAATATACCAGCGGAGACTGAGGAGGGGCAAGAGCGCAGCCGACGAGAGGGAAAACCTAAGAAATGAGAGGGAGAAACTGAAAAAGCTGATAGCAGACAGTAAAAAGAGAGCGTGGGAACAACTTTGCCAAGACCTCGATAAGGACATTTGGGGAAAAGGCTATCAAATAGTGACGAGGAAAATTAAAAAGCGGACCCCGAAGGTAGGGTGGAACGATGCAGCCCTGGAGGCGGAAGTCACGAGGCTTTTCCCGCAACATCCCAGAGTTGACCCTCTCTTGGAGACGACCGAACAGCCACAGCACCTCGAGGTGACGAAGGAGGAAGTAATCGCAGCCGCAAAACAGCTACCCACCAAAAAGGCCCCGGGCCCGGATTTTGTACCGGCGCCAATCGTCAAGAGCCTAGCACTCGCCAAGCCGGAAATTTGGCAACGGATAACGGGCGACTGCCTCCGGGAAGAGGTCTACCCAGATGAGTGGAAGAAATCGAAGCTGATACTTATACCCAAACCAAACGGGTCCTATAGACCAATCAGCTTGCTGGATTTTTCCGGGAAGGTGGCGGAGAGGATAGTGAAGCAGAGAATAAGCGACCAAGTCGAGGACAAACTGTCGGATAGACAATTTGGGTTTCGAAAGGGGCGATCAACGGTAGGCGCGGTTCGAGCGATTGACGAAAAGATTCAAGCCGCCAACAGCGGCACATGGAGGACCAGACAAGTCTGTTTAGTGGCATCTTTGGATGTTAAAAACGCATTCAACACGGCGAGCAGAAGGCATATCCTGCAGGCGATGGCCGAGATGGGTGTGTCCGAGGTTTTAGTGAGAGTGATTGCTAGTTATTTTACCGGTAGGGAAGTGACGGTGGATAAACCTTCGGGAGCGCAGTGGAAGTTTAAAGACAGCGCGGGAGTGCCACAAGGGTCGGTTCTGGGGCCCTTGCTATAGTCAATTATGTACGACGGTGTGCTTCGTCTTCAGCACGAGGAAGGGGTCGAGATGGTGCCTCAACCGCTCTCTCCGCAACTTACTAAACTTCTAACCGGCCATGGCAACTTCGGTGTATACCTAGAAAGTATAGGAAGAAGAGAGGATACAGAATGCGAGTGCGGCGCAGACAGAGAAGATCCGGCGCACGTCCTCCTAGAGTGCCCAACCGAAGGGCGCATCGCGGACTGGCCGACGCCAGACTTACGAGGGCGGGATTAAGGTGGCCGAGAACCCTGGAGGACGTCACCCTGCTGGCGGGCGAAAAGGAGTGGTGGGCCGAACTCGCCCAGTTTAGCCGGAAGGTAGAGCGACTGAGACCAACGACGAGAGACGAGGCGAGATAAACACGGCGAAAACTGCAACGACACGGACACGAATCGGGAGTTAAATTGGCTGGCGGAAGCTTCACTTCCGACAACCCGACTGACGTGCATTGAGGCATTCCGGACGGGTTTAAATCAAATACTTAAGGAGAGGCGGCGGGGGCCTAACCCCCGACAACTGCGGAAAAAGGCACTGCGATGCCTTTCGAAGCAGTTTAGTTAGAATGAAATAATTAGGTTTTTCAGAAGGCGGGAGCCTCACTCCCGACAACCCGACCGGAGTACACTGATGCACTTTCGGGCGGGTTTACATAAATTCTCTTAAGAAGCACCGGCGGGGGCCTAACCCCTGACAACTGCGGACGGGGGCACCGCGGCGCCCCTCGAAACAGCTTAATTAAGTAGAATAATTAAGTTTTTAGCATAATAATACACGGCGCGGCGGGAGGAGGGGGAGACATAGAAACGCTTAGACCCGGGCGCGTCCCGAGCGGATATTTTCGGGAACAATTCAACTCAACCCTAGGAACGACTCCCCCTACTCTCGCCAATAGACTAAGCGGCACTGGGAAACAAATGCAAGAAGACAACCCACGGAGCGACAAAATGAACTGGGGGAAAGCCGGTAAAATCGAAAGGAAATCGGGATGGATGGCCCCTAGAAGACTAACCCTAGTACCCGAGAAGACCAAAGTCGCCACGATGCCGGGGAAGCGAAGGCTAGGGGTAGTAAACCTGGAGGTGCTGGGCCAAACGCTGACTGCCGAACACAGCATCAAGATATTGGGTATAACCTTGGATAAGTGTTTACATTTCACGGAACACGCGCGACTAATCTGCGACAGGGCGGTCAGGAGCTACGTGGCTCTAAAAAACCTATTACCGAACACAGAAGGAGCGCGAGCGTCGAAGCGGAAAGTGTTGGCGGCGGCGGTAAGCTCAATAGTGCTCTATGGTGCGGGAAGTGTGGGGCGTGGCGGCTGGAAGGGTGGACAGTGTCATTAGACTGCTGGCAATATCCATCGCGAGTGCATACCGCACTGTGCAGATGGACGACATAACAACTGTGGCAGGTCTTGCACCGGGGGAAGTCCTGGTCAGAGCGAGGATGCAAGGGTGGGACACCGCAAGAACACGACAAGAGTGGCAGGCCAGGACAAGAGACAATCTTGGACGAAAACACTGATCCCACAACTGGCGCCGTGGAACGCAAGGAGCCACGGAGAGGTCGATTATTACCTCACCCAGCTGCTGACAGGACACGGCGAAAACGGGAGATACCTTGCAAAGATCGGAAAGAGAGACGACGAAAGGTGTAGAGATTGCGGGGAACGAGACCACCAGGGACACGCCGCCTTCGAATGCGAAAGATGGGCTGAGGAAAGGAGAGCAATGGAGGCGGTAGTGGGAGAAAGGATAGGAGCGAATAACCTCATAGAGGTGATGTTGAGGGACGACGGACGCTGGGAGGCGGTGACGCGGTACTGGCAGAAGGCATGCAGCACGATTGAGCGGGACAGTTGGAGGCGAGAAAGGCGGCGTGACGACGAGTAAGGGATAAGGCCAACATCTAGGCGGCGAACATCTGCTGCCGGGCTAGCACTTCTGGAAGTAATGCGATGCGGTCCCCGGGGTGCTCTCAGAGCCGAAAGGAGTGGGTTTAGCGGGTACACCGAACCCTGATGGGAAAGGGAGCCCCGCACTACCCTGCGCCGATAGAGCGTAAGGCGAGGGGTGTCCGTAAAAGGATTCCCACTTCTATATATATATAAAAAAAAGGTTAGGTTAGGGGAAGAGGCACGTGTACCCTAACGAGCGACGCACGGCCGCGGTTGTCAGGATCGGTAAGACGCAACGGATCCTCCGGTACAGGGAGGGAGGGTGTTACGCGATGATCGAGACGGACGAGGTGTGTCTAGTGAGCGT